ACGAATAATGAACATCTAACGTATAAGTAAATAGACCGATAAGTTTATGCGTAGAAGTAAATAAATAGAAGCGAGTATTAATCGTTTAATAATTTTTGATATTAATTAAATTTTTTATTGTTTTATTACCGAGTACCTGTCCTAAATGTTTACAGAAATACCAAATAAACTTGAAATACCGAAATATGTGTTGGTATACATCGTGCACACCGGCTTATTCCAATGATTCAAAAATATTTTATTATCGATGTTTTAGATTCGCGAGTAAAATAATTGTAACTTAAATAATTTCATATCCTTTCTTGTCTACTCTTCTTATGAGTTCTAAACCACTTCTAAACTATTGCTTCCCCTCTGTTATCACTATAACCATTTTATTTATTTTCAAAATTTGTTTCAATATGAAATCTAAATGAAGTAGTAGATAAATTATTTGGAAGTTATTCATCGTATTATTTTTATCTATCATTTTATTATAAAATTTGTTCAGAGTCATTAATTCGTAATATTGGGCCCCTCCACGAGCTTACTTAGAGGGGCCCGTTGTACACTATATTATGTTATATTTGTACGTAACATTTTTGTGAAAAAAAAAAATATATATTTTTTAAATATTTCACGTACTATCCAAATAAATCATCTATACCGATTAATGACCAACATAACCAAACAACTGAAGATAACGACACTAAAAATATTTCAATTACTCATATATCACAAAATATTGACATATTGTACGTGTAAATTACGGGTGTAAAACTGATTTTTTGACATCAAACTATTTTGAAGTTGTAAATGGTCTATTTTATCCAAAACAATAATTATACTACAATAATATGACCTTGATAAGTAGACTAACGTAAGCCATCAATAATCCGGCGTGAAATCGATAATATTTATACGCACACTTGTTTAACAGCGTGACAAAACGTCTAGTGCAATATTTGCGCTAAGATTAGATGTATTGTTTTTTCTGAATTCTAGAAAACTGTTTAACTCTGGAGGTCAGACGTGTAAAAAAATTTCGTAATTAAATAAGCTGGACAATTGTTCTGGACAATATTATAACGGTATCATGTAATAATAACAATAATTATTAATTTTAACATTTCCAGCGATAAAAATATTGTTTAAGAACAAGGTGCTGGTTCTGCACTATCGTATTATATGTGTATTATGTGTATATACGTATACTTATCACAATAATGCAAATAATACAAATATTGCTTTTAATGTGCTCGTTGTTATTATTGTACAAATATAACATGAATAAAACAAAAATTTGTCACGGCAAGAGAAGTAGTTTTACTCGAATTGTATGTGTGTATTATGTGTATATTTTTTTTTTCTAAAGAAACAATTCTTACCTATACAAACAGTGAAGCAAATATAATTATATGATCACTATTTTGTAACAAATCAAAGAAATTCACGAGGTCAATAGATTTTATTGGTGAAGTATGTGGAGAAAGCGCAGATGGTGAAACATACTGGGTAATCTTTAAAAAAAATTTCCCTAGAGTTCTAAGTATCTCTAAGTATCATCGGAGTATTAGATATAACGTAAATACTTTCAAAAACTTCTACTGCGTACGTAACTGTATAATTGATTTAAATTATTATCAAGCCAATTAATATAAATTTTAAATTTTAAATCTTTTGTATAAAAGAAAAAAAATCGAAAGAAACTATTCCATTAATACGTTAATGATACATTTATTCACGACGTCATGATATTGAAGTTAGGCATAATAGTCATATAAATTTTATTTCTGATCGAAATATTAAAACTCAACTAAATCAAATTAATTTTGTGATTTACGCTTTCATAATATTCAATATTTATTAATTCTTTTATATTTTTTTAAAGAAAAAAAATTCTATTGATTGACAAAAATATTTTATAATACGTACAATCTACTTATATATAGTATATTTAACAATAAAATAATACAAAGAACAAATTTTCACGTACCTATAAGTTTATAATTTTATTCTTTCTATAATTTTCATACAAGGTTTCATGGAATTAATTTCCTGCATTACAATAACAATAAAAAACAATAACAAAAGTAAACTTAAAAAACGAGGCATGATACAGTGGGCATAGCTATTGATCACTCATTTGGCTTCATTCAAGCAAGGCACTGTTGTATTATTATTTTTAGATAAAAATTCGTGCAGTACATTTTTAGAATAAAGACACCAAATTACTATTTTAATGTGAAATTACTATAAACTACAATTTTGAAATATCTTTATTTACTAAAATTATAAATTAACAGTAGTTGAACGACCTATTCGGTTCTCCGTGCATATTTATTTTCTTAGTTACCGGGCAGATCAGGTTTAATTAACCATGAATGAAATACGGATAATTATTAATCATTTGTAAAAAAAAAAAAAAAAAAAAAAATAAGAAAATTGTAAATAGGTTAGTTGTCTAGAACAAAATGCAATTATATGTTAGATGCTGAAATTTCCACGTACTATATGAATAACAAGTGTGTTAAGTTAAAATAGTATGGATTATTCATAGGAGTAAAATATGAATCTTTTTATAAATAAAATGAATAAAACGGGATGAACTTCGTTTATTGGATAAACATATAAATATTATAAACTAATCAACCAATATTGTTATTTATTCGTAAAATTAATTCGAAGAAAGATTGTTTGATTAAAATTTAAATAATTAAATATATAAATATTTAATTATTTAATAAATTCATCGCTTTTCACTCTAATAATAATTTAGCATTGTTATAGTGTAAATAATTACTAAAAGTTTAAAATATTATGTTAGACTGTTAAGTTCAAATTAAGAATATGTTAAAACGGTTGATTTAAATAACCTTAGAATAATTTTTTTCTTTTATAGATTTGTTAGCAGTTCAATAAATATTTATTATTTATATTATAATTGATGATCCTTCTGCTTTTATTGCTGTATATTTTCTATATTTAAGTTGCATAAAAAATTTGGTGTAGTATACTTAAAATATACATTATTATATATACAAATAGAATACATTCATTTAAAACAGATATTTTTTCGATATTTTTAGTAGTTTTTTTATACTTAAGAAAAACTGAAAAACTTGGAAATACAATTATACTTAATATACCTAACCTTTTTTTAAAATAAGTATAAAATTGAGTTTCCATGATTTAAATTTTTATTTATCCATTACTATTTTATCATTGGTATTATATTTAATTATATTTAGCTACACTTTGTTTTCGATTACTATTTAATAATGAACACTATTAGTTTACTAAATTATAAAAAAAAACTATATGCAATTCAAATAAGACTATTGAATAATAAAAATACTAACTTTACATCAGACATTAATCATTTTTAGATTATATCTGTTTTGTTTCATTACAAATGTACTTGTACAATATTTAGTGTTCGGAATGTTAATTTAAAATTGAACTCGTCCACGTTTACGTTCAGTACATAAAAAACGAACTCGTTTACAATCATGTTAATTTTTTTTAAAGTAAACGCGTTCACGTTCAAGCTCTACGCAAAAACGAACGTCTTATTTTGGCCGTTAATTTACATTTTTTTATTTTATATTTATGAATCCCCAACTTGCATTGTTTGTAAATGGGACCTTCACAAACAGTGAAGGGCGTTTCTAAACATTTTTTTCGAGAGGGGTCCAAAACATGTATATTTTAATTTTATTGAATTAAGATTTTAACTTTTGATATTTGGTTAAAAATAAGACAGAAAAAGATTCAATCTTCTTTTATTAAAATTATTTTTATATGATATTATGATAAAAAATTTAAAGCAATCAATGATGAATTGGAGCATAAGTCGGTTTTGACTGAAAATATTTATTTTGGTATTAAAAATAAATAAGTATTTTAAACATTCGTAAAATATTGAAGAAATTTCGAGGGGGGTTCAGACATCCTGGATCCCCCAGATATGGCATTGCAAACGGTTTATGGTACATTTTAATTTATATTTAAAACCTACACTTAAACATATTATATTATAATCAATATTTATTACTTAAATACCTTCAAAATAATAAATAGATTATTCAAATGTATTCAAATTATCCAAAAATCGTTCAAATTCATTACAAATATAAATTTCGTTCGTGTGTCGTTTACAAAATATGAACGGGAATGCGTGAACTTACGTTCATAAACGACATTTTTTCCAAATACTGATAATATTATAATTACCACCTAACAATCATTATATTACACACTTTATAAATCAATCTGAAAATTTTTTTTTTGCTATTACGAAACTAGTGTTTAATCGACATATAATTTATATTTTATCAGAAAATTGCAATTATGTATAAGTATGAATACAATAAAATTGTTAACCAACATTAAAAATGTTTGATACATTTTCAAATTTTAAATTTCAAACGATATCATGTATTTCTATTGCCGTTGAATAGTAAATCCATTTAAATATTTTATGTCTAACGGTAGACGTTTGATTATAATTAAAATTTAAATATATGTCTGAAACATTTCGAAGAAATTTAATACTGTTATTTCATTTACATTATCCTAAACGAGTAAATTCCCTTATAATCGATTATTATAGACTATTTTTTTTGAATTTTAGTAAATAATCAATTCCCATATTTAATAACTTATTATGGTTAGTTCTGCAAAGATGCGATACGAATTTCTTTTGACGATGCAATAACACGACGAATAGTTCATTTCGTTTCAAAATCAAGTGGAGAATTAAATGTAATCTCGATATCTATATAATATTATTTTGGACCGATAATCAACCAATGACCAATTGTCGAGACTCTAGTGACCTTTGATCTAATAATCTTCTAATAATGTGAAAAAAAATTAAAAAATAAAACAATACTACCGATACACAGATTCCTACCGCTGCAGCAGCCGTGGACCGTCGTGTGACGTAAGCAACCTGGACGATCATCCCCCCTAGATCTCTGAACGAACCGGAACAAAACTGCCTACATAAAACGGCACGCGCTACGCTAGACCATGTCTATTTGCTGCGCGGTGTTTGTGTGTTAAATGTGTTTTTTTTTCGCCCCAAGTGATCGCCGTCGTCATTCGCACATAAAAATCGTAACGAAATATCGGTCATCCGTTTTTTTTCAACAGTTCTTAGTTTTTTGATGGTACTTCTCTAACCAAAACAAGTGTCGTCCACCCATAGGAGATGGTCAGTAAAAAATACAAACATTATAGTATCTGCATCTTATTTATTTTATTATTATTGTTTTTCCAACTCAATATCTTCTTATATCTTCAATACGTCTTCATAATACTATTATTCTTTTTTGATTAAATGTTTTTTCTTCTATTACTAAAATCATAATAATAAATAATGTGCATTGTAGTGCTGTTGAGAATGTTACGTTTTTATACGTGATCGTTCACGATATGAGATCGAAACTGCGGTAATAATAAGAACACGTAAAAATGAAAAAAAATGCTTTAAACGCGTTGGTGACATTGAAATCTCCTTTGGAATTTCCTGTAAAAATATAAACCATAATATACATATACATAGTACGTAATTTAAAAATTAAAAACAATAAATACTCATATTATTCTATAATAAATTGAAATTGATATTTAAACCTTTTTTTTTTATCAAACCATTACACTGGATTAATTACGTTTCTGAGTAATTATATTGATCTTTTATAATCACATCACTTACAAGATACTAAAATTTCAGTGACAAGTTATTTAATTCTATAATATAATAGAAGTTAAAGAATATAAATAAAAAAAAAATACAAATTTTAAATTTTTACTTTTTAAAGTCATAGGAGACTAATCCACCTAATTTAATTTTACAAACAAAATTTAATTTCTTACTTTCATATTAACGACTTAGCGAAATTATTAATTAAGTGTATATTATTAACAATCAGTATAATCTCAAATATGGCCTAAGAATAATAATTGTTGGTTTACATATTCCAAGTAAAATATTTTACTTTTCAAACTAAAATCAAATTTGAAGATAATTTTTAACACTTATCACTTTCATTCATGATAATATACATATAAAATAATAAAATTAAACAAAATCAATTAATAATTTATTTTATAAGAATTAGAATAATATTTAATTTCATAGTGATTTGATAGTTTATTGATATTGTCCTAAAAATAAATCAAAGTATTTATTCTCCATTAAAGATTTTATTTTTTAACTATTATTACTCTTATAATTTTTAACGTATTTTTGAATATTAATTGTTATTGATAATGTTTCAGCTTGTCGGGGCGCTCATATATACACTATTAGCTTTATTTTGTTTCGACAATTCTTTCGGCGAAGAAAGGTGATTTATTGCAAAATAAATATTATGAGTACAACTTTTTAAATTCTGTACCGGCACCTAGTATTATATTATTATTTAAATATTATACATTATAAAGTTTTGTTTACAGAAGCTCTGGCCATCAGTAGGTTCCAATATTTTGGATTTCGAACATAAAAAATGCTTTTCTTATAGAATAATAAAGTTATTTAGTTTGTATTATTAAAAAAAGTATGGAGCGAAAATACTAATTTAAATAGCAAGATTATGTAGGCAAGTTATTTACGATCACTGTACTAAAATTAAATTCTAATACTGTATCAAAACCAATTGATAGAAACATTAGTTTCAAAAATAACGAAAAAGTGGTTCTTATAATTTATACACTTCAATTATAATCATGTTCTAAATTTAAATCTACTATTAAAATCACTGTATAAAATAAATAAATACTTAAATGGTAGTCGAAAGATTGTGCAGCACAAAGTAATTTTCTTGAATCTGCTAGAATTTAATTTTGCTTCGAGTCCTTCACAATGTAACATCATTCAAACTAGTTGATATGAATTCACCTCTACATGAAATAAAGCCAATCAAGTTTAATCGATATTCCGTTTATCCCACACCAATCGAGTGATCATAATCTAGAGTTCGAAATAATAAACTATGATGCGTTAATCCACGGAACATTCGAATAAAAAACGTTTTACAGAACATTATTATTTCTTCGATGTTGGCAAATAAATGTAGAGACTATTTTTTTTTCTCAACCCGTGAACCCGTAAAATGTTTTGAAACCACTTGGATGTTTAGCGGAACCGGTACAGAATCGATTACAGGTAATATGTGTGTATAATATAATATGATTCGATGTTGGGTTTGAATAGTTATCTAGGACATGGAGACTTCTCGGCGGGGGGAGAACTATCACCTTACCACCACGGTGGTGGTCATGGTACGCATAGCGGCCACGGACACGGACACGGGGGTGGTGGCGGCGGCGGCGGCGGCGGCGGTGGCGGAGGCGGCGGCGAACACATCCACAAGGGCGAAGTGATACACAGGCATGTGCACGAGGGAAAGGTCGAACACATCCACAAGCACGTGGGCCACGCGGAACACGATCACAAGCACGCCGGGCACGCGCACCACGACCACAAGCACACGGGCCACGCAGGCCACGACCACAAACACCACGGCGCGGCCGAGCACAAGCACTCGCACTACGGCAAGGCGGAACACGGGCACAAGCACGTGGGTTCGGGTGCGCATTCGCACAAGCACATCGGCGCGGCCGAACACTCGCACAAGCATCACGGGCAAGCGGAGCACGCGCACAACCACCACGGGCACGCTGACCACGCGCACAACCATGTGGCGCACGCGGAACACGGGCACAAGCACTCGCTGCAAGCGCAACACGCGCACAAGCATCACGGTTCGGCCGGGCACACGCACAAGCACTTGGGGCACGCCAAGCACTCGCACGCCCACGGCGGACACGCAGACCACAACCACAAGCATCACGGGCAGGCCGAACACTCGCACGGGCACCACGGCAACTTCGGGCACGGTCACGAGCACCACGGCAAGTCGCATCACACGCATGCGCATCACGCGCAGGCGTCGCACGGCCACAAGCACTCGGGGCACCATGCACACGCGCACCATCACAGCGTGGATGGTCACGGTGGCGGTGGCGGCGGCGGAGGCGGCGGAGGCGGTCACGGTCATGCTCATATAGGATACCTGGTGAAGAGGAACGACGGCGAAGTTCCCGAAGGACTGAGCAAGTACTATAAGCCAGCGGTGGCGCCCTCACCCGTACTGCCCGTGGAAACGTCCGTGGTCCCGAAACTCGAAGGCGTACCGTTGGAAGACATGTTCAGCAAGGTAGAAATCGCCGACTACGGCGGCAGCATTGGCACGACGGAGTGAAGTAAGTAAAGAATATTGATACGACTTCACGTCGTGATATAACTTGTTATTCGTCTACGTTTGCCACGATATACCCAGTAATATAATTATAAAATATAAGATTGTTTTTTTTTTTTCATTACTTATAAATATTATTTGTATTAATTATAACGTGTATACTTGATTTTTTTTGTCTTTTTTTTTTTGTTACCAATACATGAAGTATATAATAAAATTATATATTATTATTTGTGTTTTAATTTATCTTATCTGTTCATATACTTTTACCTATATGAACGTTTACATCACAAAAAGATATAATATTATGTTATACAATATTGTTTCAATATTTTGTAATGTAAATAAAAATAAAATTTTATACTATACTCACCGTAATCGATAAACTGTTGTTATACCTTAAAATATTTAAACAAAATCACAAATAGTAACGCATACAGATTGTGTGCGCGCGCGCGCGCGCGTGTTTGTGTGTGTATTATAAATGTATACATATACATATTTCGTTAAACTGAGTTTTCGTAGCGTGAAAGAATGTTTTTTGTCGTGAAAACATTGCGCGGTGTGCTCGTTCGGTTTCATTAAACAAAATTAGTCAAGGGTTGTTCTAAGTTGTGCAATATCATAACAGGTGGAAATTGGACCCAATTAAATCTTGTATTTCGTGGTGCGATTACGTAACGCAGTGTCGGTCGGTACTGTGAAAATGCGACTTTTCCGACGGAATAACTAAACGAGATAGTATAATAATAAAAATAATAACAGTAAAAATAACAATAATAATACAATACCTATGTATAATAACAATAATAATAATAATAATTACAATATGTCATAACCTAATAATATTGCAAACTGTGCGCAGCGTTCATTCCACCTTGTTCAACGTGTAACGCAATATCTGCAGTTCGTTGCTGATATTGTTGGCCAGTTCTTGCAGTTGTAGTTTCGAGTCGAGCACCTGTACACTCTGCGTGTATGGATTGTACCGGATACCGAATTTCTTCGGTATCGTGTTAGCGAATTTTCTATAAAAGCATATAAACAGAGCCTCGTTTAAACAACGGATACGAATATTGAAATTTATGTGTGTTTCGTTTGGGAACTTTTTCGCTCGCCCGGAAACGAGCGCTGGTGGTGATATATTATAAATACTAGTATACACATAGAGATATACTCTGGATTCTCACATCAATTTCTCTTTGACGTCGTCGAAACTCTCGGCCACAAAATACGTGGGCTGGTACTCGGTTATCGGGTATTCCTGTTTGCCAGTCACTTCGGGATCGAAAGGCTTCAGTTCTGGTTGGTCCGACAACGAGTATTGGAGTTCACCGATCGACGACAGAAGTCCGGCTCCGTATGCTTTCAATTCACTGTCCTGGCGGCACAGGCCAAACTCGACGGTGAACCAATAGCACTGTTGAAAAAAAAAATTATAAAATACAAAAAAAAAAACGTACTAACAACCGTGTAACAAACATGCGTATTATGATACACACATAAAAACCAATATCATACAGTCGATACGCCATTATAATAATATTATTACGATATCACATTTTTATATATCATTACACACGCAAACAATACGGTTTGACCGTTACGCGCTCGCCCTGCACGGGTCTATGATCAATATATAGATAATAGGTACCTACGCTTAGGTCATACATATACAGACACGCGAATTCAATGCATAGTTTTATATACGTTCCAAGTGTGTCATTTAGAATTTATTTAGAATTGTGCATTTAGAAGAAAGAAAAATAATATTTAAAATTTCAGGATTGTTCAAACTTCGAGTACTCACTACTTAATGATAAATTAATATTATTAAAATAGTGTGATATTATTTTGTCAATAAATAATTCTATTCAATATGTATTACTTTTTATACGTTATAAATGTAATTCAAATTGTATACATTCGATTTTTTTTATGACTTTAATCTAAATTTAGTTGGTATATATAATGAACAAATACTTATTAAAATATGTTTTGGTTTTCTTAAAAACGAAATTTCGTAAACGTATTTCAATGTTGTATGGATTGCCTCGATGTTTTCACGGTGAAAAATATCGAAAAATATCAATACGTGACAGCGGTAGTTATTAAATTAAATCACGTAAATATTTCAACGCAACGAAACACGATACTCAGTATTGTAATAGCATATATGAGTACATGTGTAAACGAATTTACCGTGGCCAATTTTTTTATATAATCATCGGGGGCGCCCAGTGATGCTAGTCCAATTTCTTGCGAGAATTGCGCAAAAGCCGGGTTGGCAAATAACGGCACGTGGCCCAACAGTTCGTGGCAAATGTCAGGTTCGGGAGTGTACAATGGCCGGCTATGATGTCTTATATACTGAGTGGAATGGAACACCCTAAAGGCTAATCCAGCTAAGAAATCCCTGGACGACAGCAGTCCACCAACTGGCCTCAGAGTGAACCCAGTGCTGTCTGAAATATAAACGGAATAGAAAGTGTAAATTAAATTGTTGAAAAGAATTGAGAGAATTATACATTGTCTTCTCGGTTACGAGATGAGATAACTTTTTAAAACTATAGCGTATCTTTCAGCGATTTCACCAAATCATTTCAAGCGTCGCGTTTATCATTATAACTTATTATAGTTATGCGTATTATGCAGCACAGTTGTATTCAATTACCCTTAAGAAAATTGGAAATATCCTCGAATTGCGGTATGCTGTTCTCGTTGTAACCACAGTTTTCGACTAACAGGGGGAACAAATGATTGTACTCTTTGCACGCGTGCGTCGGGTAGAGTTTCGTTAGTTCTCTGAACACGGTACCCCAAGTTTTTATTTCTTGTTCGGTGTACTCGATGTGAGGTAACGGATCTCCGCTGTAAATCACACAAATAAAACCTATTACATTTTTATAACTATTTGAAATAATTGATTTCACGTTATTAATGTAGTCTTAAAATTATTATTAATAGGTATAAAGGCTAATTGACATAAATATATATTCCAGTTAATTACCGTATTGTCCACTTTAAGTTAAATTAAATAAACAATATATTTTACAACAAAAATGAAATACATTTTTTTTCTAAAATGTTGGTGTATTTTAGAGTTATAAGATAAAAATACTGAGTTAAAAAAAACAGAAATTAAAAAATTATTTTTTGTTATTTTTCTCGAGAAACTTATGAACATCTGCTGACAAAAAAAATATTCTAAAAGTTGAAAGCTTAATTTGCTTATAATATTCAATATATTTTGACTTGACAATACTTTTACATAATCATACATTTGATACTTATAAATTATTATGGTTTATTTAACATATATTTACTAGTTAATAGTAATAGTTCTTTAATAGTTCTTTTATAATATTTATTATATTTATATAAATTTATTATACAAGCATATTTAGTAAAATATTTTTTTGCTTTTAGAATATATAAATTCTAGTCCTATCGATACCTAATAATTACTCGTTAAATAAGTATAATACATGTTGTTATTATAAAACAAAACAAAAAGTGGAATCGGTGAGAATATACAAGTATACGTACTGTCTGTAGTTCAACGCGATGTCGGCCAAATACTTTCTCCTGGTTCTGTACACGGGGTCCGTAAATCCGGGATGATCGGCATCCAGTTCGGCTCCGTGTGACAAGATCTGATTGGCGTACTTATCTAAGTCTCTTATTCGCAACGGGAACCAGGGTACATATTCTGGAAAAAAATGCAAAGATTTGATTAACAAACGCGTCTCAATCATCATCGCACTAACCGCTTACCATCTTGTACTTTACTATCAGAAACGTGGTTCCTGGACACCACCGAGCAATACACCATCGTACCCTTTAATATTTCGACCACCTTCGTAATGTTGTCGCTTGGAGCACATTCAACGAAAAACTCGTATTGGTTCGGTATACGGTCTGATGACCGGGATTCGATATGCAGTAGATTCACATTGTATTCCTATATACATTAAAATACGCATCATAAATATATGTTTTTTATTTATTTATAATTTCCAGTATAAACTATGATAGCTCAACAATTATTTATCATAAGTATATAAATATAGAGCATATTGTTATGAAGCTATTCGATTTGTTATAAAATAACAATATATAATACAGTATTTTTCCATTTTTCATGTTGTTTGTTCTCAAAATAAAAAGATTTATTCACAATAATATGTCAAATAAATATTTTAAAGTAATCCGGTACATTAGAGTAACTTTTGAATAAATGATTAATAGATGATAATATTCAATATTTTTAAGAAACCGGTGGTCATAAAGTAATATTAGAAATCACATCCGTTAAGACTTAAATGTTCGGTTACATTTTTATTTTTATTCTTTATAGATGATAATAATCAAATAATAAATTAATTAATAAATCAAGTAAATATGGGCACCGTAAATTGTTACCTTAAATAGTTTTAATGCATTAGCCAGTGTTCCAACTCCATCCTTCCCTGGAGAGAATATCAACGTGATGGATTCATCCTCGATGGGTGGTATATATGATCCTTTATGGGCTACATGTGACTGAAAATCAAACAATAATAATTGTCGTTATTACTGTTCATAACTGTAAGGTACGTAATATTATGTATCTTAGATAAAATAAAATCTGTATATAATTAATCATCGATTCTATTAGATGATTTTGTGCTCCTTCAATTTAAATTGTTTTAAATAAAATTATAGTGAATATCCGAAATACAATAAAAATATATAATTTTAAACAAAAAACTAAATTGTTGTTAGGCTTTTATGTATAATTTTTTGCTAAACAATCAAATTAAATAAGATATTACTCGGAAATTATATTTAATATTATGGATTTTATGAAAATTTATTTTTATGAAATGCTATCATGATTAATGCTCAAACAAGGATCATTAACATTTATTCAAATTCACTCAGCGCTCTAACTTAACTGTATAAATATACTTAAATAAATATAATTCAATAACTCACCATTAAATTTTCATCCGTATGTCCATTCATTGTGTTAAATTGATTTCAAATAAAAAAAAATATATATATTTATATATATTATAATAATAAGACGAACTTATAAGCTTAAACAACGTTAAACCTATTCACTCAGATGACTAACAAATAATGCTTTATAAAATGTCTAATCCGTCATTAAACCAGTTTTCATAAGTCCATTACCCCTCTCAAAACACTAAATGATGCAATTATTGTGATTTCATATTCATAGTAGTTATTTAATAATTGATGAATATGATCGTTTTCATTCCAAGAGCAGCGTGATTTTAAGATTGATTTATAGTTGACACATATATAATTAACGAAGGAATATTAACGTATGTAAGTGCATAACATAATTATAATTTCATCTCTTCGAGGACTATACTAATTACGTATATCAATCCGAAAAAATAAAGTTAGTGCGCACTTGTTTATTTAATATAAATATTCTTGCGAAAATCGAACAGCTACTTTCACAGGGAATTATTAGTGTTACTATAATTTTAATATTTTAGTAGTAATAGTTCAAGGTGTTACGGTATTTAGATACTAAAATAAATTACATAAAATAAGACACCACACTAATGATATTCTTAAAAGTAAAAATAATTAATTAATATAAAGTTTTTTAAAATGATATAATTGTACTGTTTATCTTATTTTTGAATATAACATAAATATTGAATAAATAAATTTTGTATGGATTCAACTAACAATACACAATAAACGTATAAATATTAACTATGTAGATCACATTTAAATGTAATAAATATCGTTACTTATTGAGAAATAATTTTGGAATAGAATGGTTATTTCTAATTTGTAAAATTACGAAACTGACAAATTTAATTAACCAGTCAAATTAATAATTTATTATAAACAACATAAATTGAAATAAAAATATGTTTTTCTTATTCAAAACGTTGGAAATGCATTTATTTAATTTTATTTATGTTCTTAAGTTTTTAACAAACATTGAATAGAACAACAAAAATCATTATATTTATTTTTTAATATCATAGTTGATTATACCTAAACATCAAAAAACGACTAGGTACTGTTAGATTAGTATTAATTTGTAATGTAAAAATTTGTAGTAAAAAATTATTACTAGTATATAAAATAAACAATAATAATAATAATATTATTATAATTATCAAGCGAACTGTTAGAAATATTTAACTCATAGAAGTTTTAAAATTAATTAGAATTAATTTGATAAATTATTTTTTATTTGTTGTTATTTTATGTAAAGTATATTAATTTATCTTATTGCGTATTTAAATTATATGTTATTTTTTATTTGACTAAATTGGAATTATAATTCACCAAAACGGTTGTTTTAGGGCACCGCTGATGTTGGACAGCAATGGCGTAATAAAAAATTTATTTTCGTCATTTACGGTACACGAAAATACAACATAATTATAATTATCAATTCGTAACAATATATATATATATATATATATATATTATGTATGTATAATGATACCTTAAAGTTTAATTGATACAGGTTAACAACATATGAGCTTAATATAGACATATATGTGCAAACAGGTATACAATGACAAGTATCTATAATAAATACAAGGCGTTTTTCTTTAGAAATATGTTAAAAATGAAATCGATTACATAATACTTAATAAATACCAAGTAAGTAATTACTGAATTAATTTACAAATAATAATAATAATAATAATAATAATAATATGTATTTTCTGTTTTTAAAATCATTAATTTAAATCATATTAAAAAATAAAAATAAATTGTACATCAAAAAAAAAAACGTATAAAAATTTAAAAGAAGAAAAAAAATTGTACAATCGATATTTTACTGATATATCTATATTTTAAAAATTAAAACGCAATAGTGGTACGAATATGAAACAGGTTTAACAAAAATCATATTTTGCACTATAGAAAATTGCTATGATTTAAATACACCTAATTTTTATAATATCAAATATAATAATCAATAGGGTATATAAAATGATAACTACGAACTTGATGTACTTATAATAACCTAATTTATTAATTCAAAATAACAATTAGCATTACTGTTGCAAATAATACCATTTTATATTAGCAATTAATATTGATGCAATAACTATTTAGTATTGTGTATTTATATATATGTATATATAATTTAATTTCAGACAATTGTTCTGTATCAATCAGTGAAAACATTTAATACAGCTATTATTACTTAATACAAAAATCACATTCATAATAAAGGATAAACAAAAACACATTTCAATACAAAAAAATAAAAATAAGATTCATTGAAATATTTTAAGTTTAATTTTTTATTTTTATGAAGGTAGAATAAATAAATATTTAATAAATTAAGATTTTTATTAATATACTTTTTTTCATCATCATTTAAATCCATCATTTATCTTATGTATAAAAAATGAATAAATATTAAATAAGATTTTTAAAAAATATATAAAAACAGGTTCATAAATACATCATTTAATTCATGAATGTAATATAAATAATTCATAAATTGGTTTTTCAATTTTATGCTACTTTGTTGTGTCTAAAAAAATTAAATGGGACTCATTTGATCTCATTTTCAACTGATTAATTTTGTTTTGTTTAATTAACCTGTGTGAAATATTTTAATTTTAAATAAATAAAATCACATATTAATGATTAGAGATGTAATGAATACTCGAATAATTGAATTATATGAATATCAGTATTCGATGTTACGATACCTATTATTTTAAATATGTGTTGCGCGAAAATTTAAACGAATAATTTTCGTTACGTATTATATTGTAGCATCAAATACTGATATTCGAATACTCAAATAATTCCCATCACTGTTAATATGATATGAAAAAATATATTTAAATGAAAAACTTAATTAAACATCTAATAAACATTAAATAATTTTCGTTTTAAATTAATATATTTTTGTTTTCAATAACACTTCATGATTTAAAATGTTCTTTTACTCTTTAAAAATAATTAAATATACTCCTATAACCATTGATTTTGCATTAATATTTATAGTTTAATACTGATATAATTTATTACATTAAATAATTGTAATTACATGGCATATTATTATTTTAAAATAATCGTTGTGATTCATATATAATTATTGAGATATACAAATAAAATATTATAAATGATATAAATGCCGTATATTATTTGACATAAAATAGATGAGATTTAAATCTATAACTATTTATTATTATATTAGTATATACCTATATCTTGAGCAAGTATGCTACCTTCTAATCAAAACTTCAAGACGTAATTTTCTAATTATACTTAAATACAAAATTATGAAATTAATGAAAAACAGAAACGTATGCCTCATTAAAATTCACTTATTAATATAATTCAATTTGATTACCATTAAAACCGTGTATTTTTTTAAATTTTTATAAGTTATATTGTTGACGAATTAATATTCCAAAATCGAGAAAATGATTGTTAAGCAATCGATATTTCACAACAACTTTCAAGTTCTGGATGTATACATTTAAAGTTTCATAATACTCTTTAATACGGCATTTATATTTAATTATTTCAGGAGAAAACATAATAATGAAACCTATTTTGTTTGGAATAATATTATATTTATTATAATATATTACAGTAGATACTATACTATTTCAGACTCATATGTTAATGAGTAAGTTGCATCTTTAACTGTATATTTATATCCGATTTTAGTAGTTTCCAAAATATTACTGTAGAAGTAAGTTCCCTGTGTAATGTATAGTGTAATCCCTGTATAGTGTAATTTCGTAAAATTAAAAATGACACCAATACAATACAGCCGTCAATAAATGACTGTGAACGTGTTATAAACAATTTTGAAAGTTTATATAATGTTTTTGAATTGAACTAAAGATCGTTCATTACTTATAATAATACTTTTAATTTAGAAACTATATTAATAAGTTTGACTGAAATTAGGTTGAAACACTTTTTGCATTTATAAAAATAATATTCCAGTTATATTATAATGCTTCATAATAAGTATAAAATAAACTTATTACCGAGTCATGCAAATAAAAATACTTTGAAATAACACTTCAGGTTTTGATATTCATTAATGATTGCGGCCATTAATTATCATTTGTCGTTTTACTAAAATATTTTTGAAAATATAATTTTTAATAATTTTATTCATTGTTTTAAATAAATTTAGTGGTGTTTTAGTTTTGTCATGTATTAATTTCATTATGAAATATATTAACTATCTTATCTACTCTAATTTTGTTATTTACTAATTAATTAGTAAAACAACGTTTGAAATTATCTTCAATTCGTAAATAAATGTTTTTTATATCAATTAAATGTTGTAAATTTTATGTTATGAAAACATTTTTGTACTTTTTCTTTTCTAATAACAAATAATAATCCCATAATATTATTAATAAATAATAAAATTTGTATTAAGGATGTTTAATTTATCATAAAATTAAAATTGTGTATGTATATTTATACATACATTACTGACATTATAACTTTATAACAATAGTTTTAAATAAAATATTTTTGGAATGAAAAAAATATATACCATCATTAAAATAAAAAACATAAATTTATTTACGTTTTATTATCAGTTTTCTATTTTATGTAAACTATAAAAATAGTATTAAATCGTATGTTCTGAAACTCAGTATCTTAAAGTATTAAAATTAAAACAATACGTATGAAAAAAAGAATGCGGTGATCAAAATAATAAAACAAAAATCAAAAAACAAACAAATATAAATCTAAAATAGTCATAAAATGCCGACGTAGAATAAAGTACATCACATAGAGGGGACATCACCGAATGAATGATTCAGATGAGGTTTCCGTATGGCACACCTTCTAGCTGTTCAGTATTACTCCACCCTTGGTCACAAGAAGTTTTTAAGGATTTTTGGAGATCCATTTTCATACCGCAAAAAAATATTTATTATTGTTTGTTAACCGTAATTATGTGTTTTATACTAGACAAGTATAAAATTGTTAAGATATTTATTATAATTACAATAACTTCAAATATTCACGGTAAGTTTAGTAGCTCAATTGACAATACAATAGATAAATTAAATATTACTAAACAATTTTTCTTATTTTTCTTTTTTTTTCTTTTATTGATTTATAAATGTGAAGGTTTATTATACTCAGCCATTTATTGATGTATTAATTTATAATCTACCACATTAATATGTTTAATAATGATAAGTCGATATTAGATGAAAGATGATACTTTAATATTTTCGTAATCCTAAAATGACAACTAAAAATTTTAAATGTAATGATAATAGCGTTAGATATTTTATATTTTTATAGGACAGATTATTATAAATGAAGTGATTAGTATCATGAAATTATGTAGCAATGTTATTTAACTGTCACCTTCCGATTAATTTATTATTATGTTTAAAAAAGACGTATCACAAATATTAATTTGACTAACCCAATTACTCGACCAATTATAATTAAAAACGAACTTAATTACAATCCACGTTATCATGACGACTACCTACATCATAATCACACGATTAAGTCACCAACCTCAATCTATAAATAAAAGACAACAACATTTATGAAATAGTGAAGTCGCATACAAACATTAACATTCTTTTTAATAAAATCCTAATACATTGAATCAATGTTTACTATTATTTTTCAAATATTTACTTTAATTATTACTATTGTAAAATAATTATAAAAAATGTATATAAAATTATTTTTATGCTTAATTCACACTCGTATATATTCCATAATATATAATACTCATGTGAGCATTATTTTCCATTAGTTATATTAAAATTGAATTAATTGCTTTAAAAATCAAGATTTGTAACCAACAAATATTATAAAATGTAATATGAACAGAACATCTAATTAATTATAAAATATATTCAATATTCTCTCAATTGTTAGGTAATTATAAAATAATCGAATTAATAATGAAATAGTAGAAATATTAAATAAAGCTGCATACGAATAAACAATGAAAAAAATTAAAGTTATATTTTATAAATAAAATGGCAGCTTGTATATTTTTCTTTACTTTATTTCCTCAATAATATCAAATCAAAATAAATTATTTTAAAGTTTGTTATATTTCACTAAATAAAAATGAAAAATTCCCAAAACACCGGATTCTATAATTTTGTCTCTGTTTAGTTAATACTGAAATTAGATCATTAAATTTTCACCACAATGTCGTTTTAAATAAAATAATTATACTTAATTCTTGACCATAAGTTAATGGTAAATTTATAAAACGATTACGTATTGAAAGTATTTTATAAATCTATTATTATTGTAATTTCAGTGATATACGCCGTATAAGAAATAACCAAACATATTTCGGTAAATTAATGAATGGAATATTTATCCGATGTGTATACATTTTATAAATCTATTACATTATTATAACTCGTAATAAACATATATAGTTTATGCATGTGCATATAAGTGTTTGTAAAAGCATGTGTAAGTGTGTACGTATACACATTACTTACTGGCATAAACGATAAGGCTACAAAGACGAAAAAGACATTACTAGAGTCTATTTGGATGTTATGTCCCAAATATGTAAACCGGTTCATAAATTCGATAAGTTTATGACTGTGCAGGCGCTAAACCGAACAAATTGACGACACCGATTACCATAATCTGACAATCGTTTCTAAAGCTTTTCCTTCTATTTCCAATTTCAGTCTCCGATCTGTTCAATTCGTGGCGTAGGAATTACATTTTTTTTATTAAAAATCTGGTTTTTGAATTTCTCACGTTAGTGTGGGACATTTTGGGTTTAATATTTTTTAACCATCTTGCACAGACATTTTTATTCTTCAATTACATATGTACAGATGGCAGGATATTAGCATTTTCTCTATTGTTTCCGTGCATATAGTATATTTGATTTATTTATTTTTAAATGTACCCAGGTGTTGTTCTATCCGCCTTGATGGTCGGATGGGCGTTAAATCTCGAGAGTCACTAAACAAAAGAACTGATGACAAATTAGCATTATACTACCGTATCCTGACAATAGGGCTACGTTTTAGTATTTTTTATTTTATTTAAATGTTCACGTCACTCTTTAAACGGAATAATACTATTACAACTGTCTTATTGCCATGATTAGTCGCTGTATTATGCTCAAATAGACCATGCGTGCATAGTAATTTTATACGATTCCTGTAACATGGAATAACCTCATGTTTTATGATATTTCAGTTACAGCGGTCACCAATGATACAACATATTTCCACACAAGACAACTGAGTGGTCAACAATACGGTCTAGACTATAATTTACAAAACTACCCAAATGCGGAGAAAATCGCAAACCGACCAAGAACGCTGTTCGAGTAAGTTAAGTGTTACTGTTAATAAAATTATAAATAACGCAATTAGTTATTAAAAACTAAGTACTAAGCCGGATAAAAATATAATTTTTTTCGTTAATTTAATATTTATTAATATATAACTTATTAAATGAAATACTCTCACTATATATTTTATTAGATTTGCATTATATAAATTTAATTTGTATAGTTGGGACAGTCCACCGACTTTATCAAAAGAAGAAAATAAAGTACAAAATACAAAAGAAGCCGTTGAAAAATTAGAAACTGAGAGAGTTGAGAACAACGTTTGGTGGCCATGGAAAAATTACGATGATTGGCTGAATGGTAGGGGGTTAAAAGCGGGACAGCCAAATAACAAAGAACAGAAAACTAAAAAGGAGAAAAAAAATAAAAAAAAAAACAGAAAAAATGGTAAAAAAAGAAAAAAATCCAAAACTGGTAAAAAACAACCAAAAGTCATCATTGAAGGAAACAATCAATCGTTAACCAATAGCGAAAACAATGAAATTATAAAAAAAGATTCTATACCAGATATACAGTATAAAACATCACAAATTGATGTAATTTTAAAAAATTCTACGTTAGTTCCAACTTTGGTGAAATATACTACCAGAAATTATACCTACGGTATGTTATACATTTTTTAATAAATAGAATATGATTAAAAAAAAAAATAATATAAATTCAGCTAAATTATCAAATAATACATATATATATATATTGAATGTATAACTCATTGCAAGTATTAAAAGTATTATACAACATTTAAAAAAATATTTCATGAACATTAAAACTACAATTTTTAATATTAGTTAGAGCTATTATACTAGAAATTACATTTTAGTACCACCGATAAACAAAATAAAACCACGATCGAGGATCATACAGCAATATGCAATAATATTATTTTAATATACGTTGTATTAAATATATCATGTGTCAATCGGTTATAATTACATTGCATAGTCAATAATTATGAGGCTTTTCATTAATTATACGTTGTAAATATTGTGATCTAACGTCTATGCTATCGTGAATTGGAAATTATTATTGAAATAAAATTACTTAATCTCAAATTCATGAACTGCAGTTAATTATATATAAATATATAGGTGTATTAAACAAAACTCGTAAAATGGATATTTGGATTAAAGTTAAGAAAAAAATGTTAGTCACTAATGTATTTTAAAATATATATATATATATATATATTCTATTATTATTACTTCATGAATCAAATATTCAAACAAATATTGATATCTAATAAGCTAAACTATTTTACGATTTAGATGTTCCACAATAATATAATATCTACGTGTAGTACAGTTATTATTTATGATAATAACTGACAAATGGTTAAAATGTAATTGAAAAACTGTAGTTGATAATAAATGAAACAGTATTTATAATTTAATGAAACAACTAAACAATCAAACAACAGAATTGCAATTTGGCTCAAAAGCGGCCAAGAATTATTTTACTTTTAATGCTTTCTTAAGAATACATTTAAAAAATACACTTTTCACAGAACAAAAATACTGATGAACGCTTCGTATAAAAAATTCTGATTAAATAATGATTATCTATTTTTACATGCAATTAAATACTAAATTCCTTAATTGTTCATGTGTACTAATTTAATAAAATATATTAATAATATCTAAAAATGTAAAATATGAAATATATTAATGTATGTCTAGGACATACATAATAATATAATAATATTATCTCACCTTTATTGTTTTAAATATTTTCTATAGATGTAAATGAATGTTTAACAAATAACGGTGGATGTGAAGGACTATGTATCAACACTCCAGGATCGTACAGATGTCACTGTCCTTCAGGCTTTATGGTAGCTGATACTAAGTGTGAAGGTAAATAATATAACATTTAGATAAAGAACGATTAAAAATATTTGTCAATGATACGCCATAAAAATTTAGTATAATAATCGTATTATAACATAATATATAGATGTATCAAACATCTGTGGACACATTATATTTTATATTAAAACAATTCATTTTTTGTGAAATTAATTAATAGTGAAAAAAAGTCTATATTTGTACAGGGAGAAAGGTAATTTTTTGGTAATGTGTTCATTACATAATTTAAATAGGTTATAAATTATAATTTTAATTGATTTATTTTTGTACCGAAGTTGAAAATAGAAGGTCTTAAAAGTATGCTAATATTTAGACTTGTGTATTACCCAATTTAATAAATATTAATTTTATTTAAACCCATCGTACACACTTAATAGTAATTTGACATGGTAATATTTATTTATCAAACAAGATAAGGTAGCGAAACATTTTTAGGCATAATTAAATAACGATTTTATGCAAATAGATCATTTTTAAAATCTCCTAAACGAATTTGTGCTTACTTTAAATTTATATTTGATATATTATTATTACATTTACACAAAATCCATAATGAAATTCACAACATTTACATCAAAGTAATTTATTGCAACAAACTATAGTTACCTATTACATCTACTTTAATTTTCTATTTTTAAAAAACTTTGTAAAAATATGACAAATATGACATTTTTAATGAAGAGTTTTTTAATCAAGAATTTTTAATTTATAATCATTTAAAATTTGAAAATAATTATTCAATATTTATTTTATTAAATTATTTCAAATATTAACCATTGATTATTTGTAATGAATGCACTAATTTAATTTTGTCATTCGTCTCACATATCTTTGCATCATTACATTAATTTTACTGTTGAATGCTCTTAGATAATAATTTTAAAATTGATTAAATGCTGCTTTTCTTTTCGGACAGCGAAGGATATATCTGTATTAAATTATGTTCCTCGTTGAAGAGAGTATTAATGTGATCGTGCTACGTGCATAACACATCGTTTTATATTATTAAACATAACACTCGTAATTAATTAGTAATTTATATAAATAAAAATTTCTAAATGCATTTAAGTATGTAAAGTAATAAAATACGGTATTATAGACAACCGATTAGCATAACCTCGGACAGATAAATACGTAATTGTTATGACTCATCGAAACCGCAATGTATCCGATACTTAGAGTAACGTAGACTCGTATTAGTGTTGTCCCACGCGCACTCTCTTCTCACTTTCATTACTTTGTCCAAACACAAAATACGATACTTACGCTATCTCTGGGTGTTCTACACGACAACCACTTGAAAACGTAATCGTATAGGCGTCGTTTATGTAATTATTCAGTATATTCGAATGTTAGTTGGTGCTTAAACGAATTGAACTAACTTTTGAACATCCGACCTCGAAATAAATATACTTCCGAGCAACTAAATGGTTTTAAATTATTTTACTTTTTCAGTGGTTTTGAATTTCTCAATAATTTTCCGAATAATTAAAAAAAAAAAAAAAATCAAAAAAAGTTCAATCGAAATCGAGAATTGAACACTGCATTGTCTAGTATATTTTTTCAAAGCACCATCCTCCAAACATTTGTCCTTTTAATCAAACTAAAAACTAACAAAAAGTTACAAGTTAGACTCACCCAATCACTATAATTCAAAATCGTTTTTTCGAAAGTTACGTTAGTTTCAAAGTTAAAAGACCAATTCACCCTTTCCCGCACATTACCTAACCTGGGATTTTCGCTTTTTTTTTTTTTTTTTTTACAATAAGAGATAATAACTTTTATTGACATTTACAATCTGCTATACTGCAGTTGGTACAGTGAGTAAACGTAAACAATTATGTTTACTAGTAACTTAAGCGCCAAACCAGGAGAGCACATAGCTGCATAACCAGAACTGACTAGAGGTGTTTGATAAAATCTTTGGTCGTTAAGAAAAATGTCTTTCGTTATTGATGTTACATTTCAATTTATCATTTCATGTGCAAATGTATTAAAAATCCGAAGATGTCGACGAATGCTTGTTGCGCAACGGGCATGGGCCATGCCAGGGCACGTGCACCAACACTTGGGGCGGTTACAAGTGTTCGTGCCACGGCGTGCCGGGCACTAAACTGGCCGGAGACGGACACACTTGTGATGACGTGGACGAGTGTCGGGACGGGACAGCCGGGTGCTCGCACCAGTGCATAAACACGGTGGGATCCGCGTTCTGTGTGTGCCCGGACGGGTTGCAGTTGGACGAGGATTGGAAAACATGCGTGGACGTGGACGAGTGCTCGGACCCGGAAATGCAACAGCCGCCGGAAGTGTGCGCCGACCGCGGCATGGCATGTCTGAACACGTACGGCTCGTACAAGTGCTCGTGACGTCTCCACCGGGAACCACACGGCCCCGCGTGTTGGGCATGAGTAGAACGTGGACCTACGCGGTACAACACGCACGCGCTGACCTACACGTACCTACAGGTGTACGAAAACTGTCCAAAACCTTAACCTTAACCATTAATCAACTAGTCATACTAAACGCACGCGCGTTGCCGTTGTTTTTGTTATAATACTCCTTAATTTGTTGATAGGGGTTAATCTAATAATACATTTAATATCTTTATTAAAACGATCTATTCGTATTACGCGTAAGTAAGTAGTGAAGGATTTAAATGCTGTGCCGTAAGAACGTAAAAGTTCAAATTCATTGCAATTTCGTATGATAAAAAAAAAAATCGTTAAATTATTTTTGTTCACAAGATGTAAACATACTTTCAGTTCATGACGGTAGTTTTTTTTTTTTTGCGTTCTAACTTCGTAATTTGTGTTAATACTTTCCCGCATAGTCTAAGTATCGTTTTTGATTAAAACATATATCAATATGTATATCAAGTTAATAAGATATGAATATAATTAATCGATTTATAAAGAATTGATTTCACGAATTCGTATTTTAATGACGAATAAATGATGAGATAACGGCTTATATGACGGGAAAAAATTTTGGGAGACCATATTAAGTAGAAATTGTAAACGAAGGTAGTCCAAGTAATAGATCCATCACTGCTTTATCGAGTGTTTTTATAATTGGTTTGTATTTTTTTTTTTTTTTTACATATTAATAATAAATTATTATTTAGACGTTAAGTTAACTTATACGAGTACTTCGATTTTCGACTAACCGATTTTAATACAATTAAACAATCTAAACACAATAATTGTACAACTTTTTATTATACAAATAATTTATTATAATATTTCAATATTTGTAATTTGTAAACATTTATATTTTTATCGAAAAAGATGTTTGTTTATTTAATATTCGAATAAAAGTCTTAATGAATTTCCATTATTTGTTAGATTAGTTATATCCTAGCATGTATCAAATTTAAAAACAATATAATTTAATTTAACTTAAAATTGTGTTTAACAAAAATTAAATCATTAGTAAATAAAAACATTCATTTATAAAACAATATCTTGTAAAAATCCTTAAAATTAAAAGTTATAGTTTAATTAAGCTATTGTCTGACCACAATATACACACAATACATGTATCATATTTTTCAAGACTTAATTTAATGTTTCATTTGTTTCTCAGGTCAACTGATTAATTGTTGCTCGATCTAAACAAAACATTTTTATTCAAAGATTTTTTGCGTATTATTTGCTTGTTTTCATCGATATGCTATGGAAACGATTTAAGATGAATGGCTACTAAAAAAATAGTGATTTTATTTATTTGTATTATTTATTAACTATTTATGTTCTAAAAATATAAAGTAATTCCAATCATACGAGTATAAACAATAAAAAAAAAACAAAATTTGATTAGGTCAAAATGTCCGATCAATCAGGAGATCGAAATTAAATGTATATAAATATATTAAAGGTTTCCATACCAATGAACGATTCCTAATCAAATTTACATTGATCACATTTCTTTATTATGCATCGTATTACCTTTTACTTCGATAGTAAAATCACACGAAGCCTCGTTTCTCGCCGCATCCATTGCTTTATATACAACGTTGTATTTTCCAGGACCCAACAATCGACCAGGTTCCTAAATCAAATGAAAATCATTAAAAATAATACGTTATCTAAATCTTAAAATACGATACACATGTGCGCTTACCATCGTTTTGATTACTTGTGTCACTGCAACGTTGTCAAAGAAACGAGGCTCGGGCCATGACACGGGCACCGTCTCGGTCTTGGTAAAATCTTCAACCACTTCGAAGTACAAAGGGCAATCGTAAACCGTGGGTATTTCATCGTCTGTATTGACAATACTGTTTTACAAAAGTGCCTTCCTAAATACCCGAATAACCTATCATCTATCTAGCAGAACGTGTCTTACCCGTCACCCGTACGTTTGTCCTGCATGAAGCAATATCCACGTCTTCTTGATCTCTAACTGTGTAGGTGATTACGTAAAAACCTGGTACTAATAGTCTCGACGAGTTCTTTCTCCAGCCAGAGCTCAGCGAACCGAACCTGTGGACGTTTGCGATGCAATTAAGTAGAAATTATGCGAGTCAGTAAGAAATTCGAAATAATTTATCCAAAACCTGTCCCAATCGTAATTCGTCGTCGGCTGTTCCACTTCAAAACTCACAGATTTCGCGCCTTCGGTTAAGCTCACATTCTTGTCTGGTGGACACTTGATGTAACATTCCATTTGATACATCTTGATCATATAAAAATATTATGTTATATGAGATTCGGTATTTTGGGAGGAAAACTTTTGTGTAAGTTCGACATTTTTTATAGCACATTTGGATTAAATTTTAGGGAAGAACTTTATAGCACATTTGGATTGCAATCACAGCTCGGATAGTATTATGAACTGAATACATTATACATATATAAAATATGTATATCATTCAATAACCAAAAATAATTTGTATTTATTGTTATTAAATATACTCATATTTGTTGTCGACTTTGAGTTGTACCCTAAATGTCGCCATCTCGCCAAACACCGTATGATACTTACGGTCATCGGTGTCGTTTTGGGTATGCATGATGGTTTTACGCCGACCCAATGCCCGTTACTGCAATAGAGCCGGTTTTGCGAAGGATTTTCGAAGATGTTTCCTTTATTGCAACGGTAAATCGCTTGTAAATAATTATTATTCGGACGAGCGGGATTTTTTTTCCTTGCGAAAATTATTTTACAAATATTATATGCAATAATAACAGCAATAATTACATACAAAATTTGTTACTTACTTTGAGTACTTGAACACGTGTGCGTACATTATTTTCGGTGCTCTTAAAAACTTTTGCCCGTGTCGCTTTCTGAACAAACAGCTTAAATCATAGTCTTCTTCCGAGTATTCTTTAACCGAATCTCTGATCATGTGCTTCGGCAATTGAAATGTGTGGTCTAATTAACAGTTCGAATATACCGTTTAACAGACGTCGAAGTAAAAAAAGATTAATATTTGTTAGCGATTTACTTACCTGCTGAAGTCTGCTGAGGTTTTTCGATGTCTATCGAATTGTTCTGTAACTGTTTCCCATTGTTTTTCATTTTTCGCTTAGCGTCGAGTTTTAATATACGTCTAAAACATTTATGTACACTATGAGCGCATTCGAATTTATATACATGATTATATATATGGTGACATTTTATATTAATAAAACTATATTATACATTATAATATTATAATACAACCTACATGATATTACAAACGATAAATAGTATCAATTCGTAACTACATTACCTGAACGAAAACCAACCTTCCGCCGAGCTGATAATATTGTTGCTGTGACCTAAGCAGTGCATTAAAAAGGTTAATATTATAATACAGTCATCATATTTGAATACGTTTAATATATTTTATAGTGTTGACAAATATTGTAGAAATGTTTCCCGCTGGGTTTTTACTCAATCAGTCACAATATCTTATACCTTTTATCGATCTATACATGTAATGCGTAATGATATATGTCAATAAATGCATCCACTTACTGACACCAGTATACAAAGTGCAAGACGGTACGTAACCGGACCATTCTCCTTCGATACACGTGTGCTTTGTTTGACCTGTGAGAACGTACCCAGCATCACATTGGTACACTTCCACGGCCCTTCTCCAATTTTTCGACGACGTAAAAATCACCTGCCCGTTGTCCGGTTGTGATCGGGGTGTACAATCCAATGATTCGGAAATCACAAATGTTATGACTGAAATCAAATGTACATTATGCGTATAACCAAAACTAATCCAATCCACTGATATATTATCACAAAAGTAATTTCAATCACTTATTTTGGTTAAATCGTTGTTGCTTAGTTTGGTACTTAAAAATTTGAATTAACTCGTTATTTTTACTAATATTTATTGTATATTGGGTTGATTATATCAATATAATTTACACTGCTAATATTAAAGGGGTGTAATATATATATTATTATTTATATTTTTTTGTTTAGTTAAATTAAACTCTAAGTTACTGTTAATATAATTAATTTTATTTAAGGTTTTTTTTTTAACTTAACATTTTTTTTTTATTGTTATTTTTACTTATTTATTTTAAATGTATTAGCCCTCATTCAATCCACACTATTACGGTAATAAAATCCATTTACCATACATTTTGAATACTTTGAATATTATATATTAGTTTGTATAATATACCTATGTCGGGGAAGTACAGTTGAGGCGTTGACTACAAACGAATTGTGTCCCGAAAAAAAAAATTGATAAGTGGGTACACGAATTGCGTCCGTCTTAATCTAAACAACTACACGGAATTATTTTTTTGGCCTTCCATTTTTAAAACCAGATAAAGTAGAGGATTGTTTTACTGACGATATTGTATCAATTTTACCAGTATTCATGTTCTATAATTTGAACTATAAATAGTTGTGAAGCCTTCCAATTTAAGTTTACTTGAATTTGAAAAATTAGTATGATGTACTCAGCACACCTGAATATATTCTAATTCATAGATATTTTAAAAATTGTATCAAAAAAAACTTATATTAAACAACGAAGTATTCATATATCAAAAAACAGACGGATGATGGTATACGTAAAAGAAGATTATTTAAGACAATATATGGCGAACTATGAAAATGGCCAATTAATCCATCTTGAACCCCCCCTTCCTTTAATATAATAACTTGTTTAATTTTTTAAGACTATGATAATGGTTTAATTATTTGTAAGGTTAAAAGTGAAAAATATTTGAAAAAACAATAAATATTGATTAAATGAATTCCTAAAATTTAAATACATGAACCTAATGAATTTATTATAAATTTTATAATCAGATATTAATAGCCAACATTTAATGTATAGATCATTTTATTCAACTATTTCTTAGAATAAAGATTATATATGCATATATATATATATATTAATACAAGGCATATTTCCGTGCGTGTTGTTACAATATCAATAATAATAATAATAAATCGAGATCGAACAACCGTGTACTCCTTTTGCATGCCATTTAATCGCTATGCAGTATACAAATAGAATGTAATGCAATAGGATGTTGTACGGATTCACAATTTTCAACGATGAACGAAGAATATAAAAATCATACGCTTCACAAAATTAAAAATATTTTTTAATGAAATAATATATTTAATTTATAACCTTCCACGTGGGTGTATTCGTGGGCGCTGCACAGCTAAATTGGGACCACATGATTTAATTTCCTAATATTTAACTATGACTGATTATGATTTTTAATCATTTTTTTCATTTACCTCTTGACTTGCTATGCATTCCAAATCAACTTTTACTAATACTTTTGACCAATGAACTAATAATGTTAATTATTTTTAATTGAATCTGACAGTTAAAGTTATAATATACGTGTAAACTTGTCTTTCCAATCAATGTAAATATTACACCAACAAAAATATCAGTTTCTTTTATTAACCAAGAGATTACAAAAATGTAAGTATTAATAACACAGAGATACGTATAAATAAGAATTTTTTAAAAAATAAATTATAGAAAAATTAGAAAAATAATATCTTGAGTATTGAAGCATTATTATAATAATATTTATTATATTTTTACATTTTATTCTTAAATAATTATACTTATATCTATTGCTTTGAAAGATACATACAGTTTGTATAAACAATTTAATTAAAAGAAACTATCTATTTTCGATTGTACTTGAGATTCTTCTAATTCAAATAATTAAAATAACTTAAAATAACTTAAAATAATTAAAACGAACGAGTACATTTTTTATTTCTTTTATTGACTAATATTTCCATTTGTTCAACTTTTAAAATAAATGTTTGATCATGCCACAATAAATTAAACGACACAACGTACAACGATACACCAATACACCAATAAATTCAAAAATAAAATTGATCTTATAAAATAATTAGTATGAAATACCATAAATACAGCAGGAATGTTTATAAAAGTGATTTATTTAACCCGTACTTAATGATTCAAATAAAAGGTTGATTTAACATTAGTAACATACGATCTAGTTTGGGATTATCTTTTTTGTATCCAATTAACAGTTTATTCTATAAGCCAGTCGTCACATTAAGCGGAACTCACTATGATATTGTATACAATTATTTTTAAGTTATAGTTAGTATCAATTTTTCCCCGGTTGTTAAAAAATAATCTAACAAATTAAAAGTAGTGAATTATGTAAAAACAGCGATAAAAATGTTTGTGTTTATGAGCTGTTGAAAAATAAAACAAAATAAAAATCATACAAATTATTGAACAAAATACTGTACAGAAAATGTAATAAATAGTTTTGAGTTCTTAATTTTCGTATACTATTGATCAGAACTATTATAAAAAGTACCTTCAGAAGAGACTCGCTACTTTACGAGAGTGTGTCCTAAATTATTCAATAATTTACACATATTAATAATATAAATCTGTTAACTCCATTTACATTTTGAAAGAATAACTCAAAACATTATTAATCTTGAATTAATATTGATATTATTAAGTCGTTAGTATTTAAATCTTCCGGTCACTTTCTTCAAACTTCTATCACTTTTATAATAATTAAATTCTGTACATCGATTTAACAGTACAGAAGACGTGAATATTTGTTACGCTAATCGTGTGAAAAACCCAAATAGCTCATTTATTTTTTCCTATCAAACTGTAACCACACGCAAAATAAATTTTATTTTAGTATTACCTGTGTTGGTGAGTATTATGAATTCGACGACGACTCCAGTAAACTCCATGCTTGTACTGAACCACTGTGCGAGGTCGTAACACGTGAATGAAAATCCAAAACCAAACAACGAGTGCCTACATGAGTATATATCACATATGACTGGCATGCATGATACCTCAAGACGTAAAACCACAAAGAGCCCGTCAGTCGGGATTTAATATCATTTCCATGCGTGTTACACCCCACCCCACTCGTGGTTTCTGATCTGCGTAACGCGTGTATGTATCGTCCAGATATTTGTCCACGACAATTACTTGAAACAAAAAATAAACGTAATACCGAACAGGAAATGTAGAAACAAATCAACGTCGCGTATTGAAGTCTGATAACGATCGGCTAACAGGGCCATTCCTATATTTTTAGGAGCCTAAGGGAAATCTTTTTTTCAAGGCCTTTAAAAAAAAAAAAAAATGTTTATCCCTATCCACCCGTACTATTATTATTCCTACATCATGATCAACGATAAATGTATAAACTAAATATATATTTTATTCCTTCAAAATCCATTTTTATCGAAGTACTTGCTAAAATATGTATACACGAGTATCTAAAACATTTATATTCACGCATTTAATGCGTACATTTAATATAAGTAACTAGAACAATCAAATTACAAAATTTAAAATACTTATAATAAACCTCTAAATGAAAGTAAAACAAATGTACGATTTTAGTATAAGTACATATAAAATATAATAATTATATACATTATAATAATTAAGAATATACTATATTACTACATCATAACTTTCTTGCTGTATTTTCAGCAAACGAATCTAAATCTTCAATAAAGATGACTCCCCGTATTCAATATTATTATCAATTACTTTTTCAATTGCTATGATTGTAAAGTTAATAGTTTTTTCTTGTGATAAATTACTACGAAGATAATTTTTTATTAATTTTAATTTTTTAAATGATCATTCAGCTGTAACTCTAATCACAAGCGTAGTTAATAATTTTCTTAATTCTACAGAAATATTTCATCAGCAATTTATTAGATGAGAATTTGTTTTAAAACTTTTAGAAGAGAAGTACCTTTAACAATAGTTTCTGATAAAATTAATAACATACAATTCTTATTCATTAATGTATTAAGTCTCGCCCACTTGTAATAATATCCGAAGATCCATACAATGCTTTATTCGTTTCAAAAATATTTCCCATATCAAATAAAAAACTAAAATAATCATCGAACTGTTTCAATTATCTAAATCGTCTCTTTGATAAAAATATTCCTTAGTCAAGAATTAGAAAAAATACTCATTTACTCATTTTTAAAATTATCTTCAATAGTAGAATTAAAATACGTACTGAACATTTGTGATCAAACATTTATTTTTCTTTTAACAGTTTTTTTGCTTGTAAAATTTGTCAAACTAATCATTTGAAAATTGTTTAAAAAAACGCGGGGTATGTAAATTCAGAGCTAAGTGCACGTGAAAGCCCCGCTCGCCCTAGAGACGGCCCTGATCTTAATATAAAAATTTAAACAGGAATAGGTACGCAATAATGATATTAAAAAATAAGACAAGTCGATTATCGTGAATATTGTACGTGCCCTATTGGACATTGAACAATGTGAATTTCCTTTATTTTTAGAATATATTACAGTCGATTATAAAATAATGGTATTAGCAACAGCAATAGAGGGATATAAGTAACAGTATAGTGATACAATATACGGGGAAAAATATGAAACATATCATTTACGTTTATATTATACAATACTGCGGTATGTATAAAATACATGGCGGCTTAAAATGTACTATAAAACAATATTAACAACAATTAAAACTATAATAATATTAATAGGATACGTGGTCGAGGGTTTCCCCCAGCCCTGTCCGATTCGTACCATTACGGTAACGGCCAATGTAGCCCGGAAAAGTCGACAGAGCCGCCGAGCCCGCCGTCCGCTTCCAGGAGGCTCATGATGACGGCCATCGCCGCTTCGTCGTTGGTGTCCGAGCTGGACAACTGCTGTTGCTGTTGTGATGTCATTATGTCCCCTAGCATGTCCTCCGAGTCACCTGGAATCATAAGCCCAGAATTTGGATAGATCGAAGAAGGAGCGTGACTTAAGTTGGTGGTACTGGTCGAGCTGGACTGGTTCACGGTATCCTGAACCATCCTGTACGACGATACCGTCGGGCCGCCCTGACAACCGTCCACCGGTCCGTGCGTGACCACGCACCCTCCGTCCACGCTGCAGCCGGTACCACCGTTCACACCACAACCGATACCACCGTCCACGCCGTCGTGGCCGTCATTGCCACCGTTACCGCTGGACGACGTCCCGGGACCATTGAACACAGCTAAGGGTGACCGCAAAAAATTCAAGCGGTCGTTATTCGACATCTGCAAGCAAACATAAACAATTTTTCACAACGGCCAACTGGTATACTACGGACGAAGGTAGAATTGAAAAACGGTTAGAGTATTATTAAAAAAAAAAGTCTTCGGCTTATCCGGTTCAACCTGTTCTAAGCCAGTGGTCGGCAATCTTTAAGGACCCTTGGACCACATTCACAAATTAAAAAAGGTTCACGAGCCAGACAATACACAAAATTGATATGATATTCAATAACATTTGCTAGTTTTGGAATTTAATTTGGACCGTATAAAAAGGATAAAAGCCGATCACTGTTCTAAGTGATTTTGACGAGTTTGACGATAACAAGTCGTCATGATTTTACGTCTCCCTTACAGCATTAATAACATATATTCTATAACAGGGATGGCAAATCCATGGTACGCGTGCCCGAGATGGCCGCGAAAAGATTTTGTGGGCACACGGACATTTTTACTATTATATATTATATAATATATAAGACCTATAATATAATATAAATAATTAACAAAGCAATATTATTATAATTATAATTATTATTATTATTATTATTATTATTATTATTATTATTATTATTATTATTATTATTATTATGTACCTAAACTAACCTTTTTATACTAATACAATAATTATACAATCAAAGTATAATATTTTTTTCATGGCACGCTCTATAAAAAAAAAAGGCAATTTTGGGCACGTAGTATTCAAAAGGTTTGCTGTTCTATACGTCGCTTCCCAAACGGCTTCCGACTATTGTTTTATTATTCCCAAAGGCTCCCGTCAAAAAAGGTTTTACGATCAGGTCAATACTTAAAAAGCTCCCGTCGATGAAGATATTACGAACAGGTAAATTTTTTCTAAACGGTTGATGGTTAAATTAGTATAACAATTTCAGGTTGATATACTGATATACTGAGTACATTTTTTTACGATTTTTGTCTATTTTTCAAAACTAATATTATTCTGAAAAAACAAATATTTACATACCTCCGATATCGTATCATGTTTAGAATGCAAAGGAGAACTGCCGGTATCACAAGTTTTCTTCTTCGCGTCCATAGCCGTATCAGCAATATGCCTACCAATTTTGTTCGCTTCCAGATGTGAATTAATTAGGCTTTGTATTTCTCTAATGCCCAATTGCTGTTGGATTCTAAATAATTGTTGTTCCGTAAAAACATCATAGTTATTTTGCGGTCGGCCCTGCGAAGAACATTCTGATTTGTTGCTGCTATCGGGCTTTGAATCAGATCTGCAGAAAACCCAAAACCAACGTCAATACCTGTACCAAGTCAACATTATCAGCAATTATACCTAGTTAAAATGTTAGTCGCAACAATGAACTCAATGTCTTTAGTCCAAGGATTTCGAAAACTTTTCCACTCGCTACGTAAATGCACATATGTTTTATTTTTGGCCCGGAATTTATAAGTCTAGAAAAAAAAAATCAAACAAGTGTCAGAAAAAAATATCAAAAACATATTACTGATTTTCACGGCCAACAGTTTACCTCTGTGTTTTTTGGTTTGCATTCTTGAAGCGTAGCTTTATGGATGTCTACAAGTCTGGATATATCGTCTTGATGGAAATATTCGTACATACTTGTGCCCAATAGTTCTTGAGGTAAGTATCCTACTATGTATGTGACCCTGCAACGTTTAATAGTAGTGCTTAGTCGTATAACAAGTACCAATAATACGGGCGATCGTGAAACACGATTCCTATACCTTTGGTCGACAGAGAGAAATTTGCCGTCAATCGTGTGTTTGGAAGTAAAACAAGGTGGTTTGACTAGGTCTGACAGGATTGAAGCAGACCCCAAGTTGTTAATTATTCTACCTACTGCGACCAGACACGATCCATTGTTTGTAGATTCCGAGTCTGCTCCAACACCGTTGTCTTCGCTGTCGTCTCCTTGATCCAAACTCTTCGATGATAAATTATGGCACTCGTTTGCCTGTGTCCAGGGCTTTAAGTAACCGGTACACTGGATCACACTGTAACGTCTATCTATATACGTGCACATTCAGATACGATTACACGCGAGGAAAATATTGAATAATAGATAGTTAATCTATTAATTAGACTTGAATACTTATATCTACAGAATATATATAACTAAAATCGTTTAAAAACACAGCTAGAAACAATATGGTTAATAATATGTTTTTAAACTTATACGAGGTTTTTATATGTATATTAAATGTACGTGCATCAGTAATTTACTTTAAACTCAAAAGCTTTATGCATGAATACCTCAATAGTTATGTGATCCTTACAAAAACTTTATAATTTTTAGTACGTTAAAATATTAAATACATGGCAATGAAAATAAAATACTGCATAAAAATTAAACTATCAAATTTTACATACACAATATATCTCATAAAGAATCAAATAACCATAGAAAATGTTTTATAAACTACTATAAAATAGTACCTATACTAATCTATTCAGAAATCATTACACAAATTACATATTCAATTTCATATAAACATTGTCATTATAATTATTGTTTTAAAATATGTTTCTTTATTATTAAATCTACCAATATTTTATTATAAAGGTTCTATAATATTTTATAGTAAAAACTAAAATTTAATAATGTATTTGTTTTTATTAATTTTGAACTTTAATTGATAAGTATTTTAAATATACTGTACTGTTGTATATGAGAATAATTATAATTATTACCATTAGGTTTGCCGATATCATCAAATTGTCAACTGTTTTATGAAATATTTCAGTAAAAATATTTATAGGTTTACTACTTCAGAAAAGTAATGCTTTTTTAACATTAATATAAAAAACAACATCTTACAGTAAAAAATGTCACAACATTAACATGTAACATTCATTACTCAACAGTAAGCCACTGTCTATAATAAATTGCTTATTATTCCTTATAAAAGCATCATTTCTTATATTTTAATAATTTAATAAGAAAATTAAAAATCAAATACTAAATTACCGTTCTTGACGTAAGGCCGTTTCTAACCTCTAACCATGTGAAATTCCTCAATAAACTCCTGCTTTACAAACTCTTACTAAAACCCATATGGGAATATGGAATTCAACTTTGGGGTGCTGACAAAATTTTTAACATCAACCGTATCCAATCAAAAACTCTACGTACAAATTCTAAAGGCCGGTTTACACGCAACGACTTATTGAACGTTTTATCGAACACGACTAATCGTATCAAGTAAAACGGAGCGTGTATACAGTAAATCGTACGTCTTATCGAATCGGAATGAAATCCAAGATTGGATCGAAAGACTGATGGGTGTAGATTCATTTTACGCGAAGTTGAACGACATGTCGTCACATGTAAATACAAATTTGGTGTATAGTACAACTTTTCGTCCTTTTTAGGTTTAATTTTCTCTTTTACTTAATAGTTTTAACAACTTAATTTCGTTTTTTTTTTTAATAATTATAATATATTATATTAGGACTTATCATTAGTAGGTATATTAACCTATAACATTTAATAAATAATATGAAATTTGATTCGCATGGTATTTTTTGTTTTCTTGCGAACATGTCTGATATACGAAATTCTGTTGCACACGTACTAGGAACATTATGATAAACCACAATAGTGCTTCTTCCATATCGTCAAACATCACTAAAATAACTGAACGCTATTGGAGAATGAACAGAAATACAGTTGAAACTGGGATGGAAAACTGAGTAAAAGTTGGAACGTGTAGACACTTTATAAAATGTACGTCTTATTGTTCATTTTATATGTCCAGCAAAACGTGCAATAAGTCGTTGCGTGTAAACGGGGCTTAAAGACCCATTCTATGTCTCAAACTACACTCTCCACTCTGATTTTAAAATACTATACGTCTTTGAATTAGCCAAAATTCACTACAAAAGTTTTAACAGCCTTTTAGCTCACCATAAAAACCCTTAATATCCAAAATATCTCATGTCACTATCCCAGACAACCCAATTAAAAAACTTACAACATAGTGGTTCCGTGCCATTAATTTAATTAATGAATTATATCATGCCATAGCACCTCCACTGTGGCACCTCTACACTCTGTCTAATCTGTAATTTTATTTTTATTTTATTATTTATATTTATCTACTTATTTCCATAAATTGTTTTATTGTTGCATATTGCAATAGATTTAATAAAAAAAACTTTTAAAAATAAAAATAAATAGTTAAAAAATTATATTTTAATTTTTGAATAACAAAAATTGTAGGTACGTAAAAGATTAATTTTTTTTAGTATGGCAAATAAAATAAATTGAACCTAATTGAATTATCATTTTATTGAAAATTCAAAAAATATGTATATAACATTATTTTTAATGGTGTACCAACATTTTAAAATACTAAATTGTCTACAATATTACTATAATATAAGTAGTTATATGGTTTTACTTATTGTTAAATACGTTTTGATTGTATTGCATTAATGTCAGACAGAAAAAACAACAAAGTGAAACATTCACATAAAACATTTCTTTAAAACGAATATATTCCATCTGAAACAAAAATTAAATGTGTTTAATTATCATTTGTTGCTTTACCTCTACTCTTTTGTGAAGAACCGCGAACATCTGAGCTTATAATGCTTGATTTACTTTCAACTGAAGATGTATCTATCGAAAACAAATTCCACTAAATTATGTATATTTGATAAATGTTTAACACTGAGTACTGATTAATATAATGAATATATTTCAATGATATGTATTGTACACACAAATAAAATAAATAAAATAAAATAAAAAGCTGTTAAAGGCAATTTTAAAAAATAAATATATTAGTATAAATATTAGAGATACAATATTCGGTAATGGTTTGTCTATAATGTGAATAAAAATGAAATTTACCTGACTGTGTGTACTTTGAGCCAGTTGTCGTATCTGCTTCTTCTTTTACACTGTGTACTTTACACTTCATCCGACAGAAGAATGATCTCCTAGCTCCACTACACATTTTTGATAGTGTATTTATCATTTCCGCACGAATCGGTAACATTTCTGTTACAAAAAAAAAAAAAATACTACCTATGTTATGTTTAAAGCTAATTGACGTTAAATAAAAGAACGAAATTTTAACTTACTATTTCCATTGATGTATCTATCTCGGGGGCCAAAGTCTGAGCAGGAGAGTTGTTCTTTTACTGTGGCTACATCCTTCGGATGAATATAATCGAACACATTGTTTCCGAGCAGGTCCTCCTATAATTTGAACAACACGCATAGTTATATGAAATTACTTTGAAAATGTGGAAAAATTTGTTTTACTAATGCACTAAAAAATTGAATACTAACTGGTAAATAATTCAGAACCTGAGTTACGGATTTAGATATATAAATTATTTTACCATGATCACAACTCACAGCAAAGACGAACCCTTCAGCAGCCTAAACAATTGATTTAATACATAAGTATAGCGTCGAAAAAAAAACGAATATTAATATATTATAGAATAAATATAGCAAGTACAAATTACTCGAGTGATTAAATTTTTCAAATCTTGATTCGATAAAAATGGAGGCTTGTAATGACCTTCGGTGTATGAATTAACAGTGCCTCGGATAGATTTCATATGTTGCACGGCCATTCTAAGCATTGTTAGTTTGTCCAACTTTCGTGACATGGTGTGGCACGTAGGTATCATACTAGCTAACTCAGTGATATATGAATTCATCTTATCTCGTCTACGTTTCTCGATTTCACTATGGTTATGTCTGTAACGAAAATTCATGAATAGCGATTTAAAAATACTTCTACTAAAAGAATATGTTATACGAGTATATTACATCAGGATGACTGAATGATGTTAAATTCACATATCTGACATGGATAAGATTCAGAAAATTCCTTAACTTATAAAATCTAGTACTCCAATGTAAAACTTCAAATTAAGTGATTATACATTGTAGTTTACCAGTACTATACAGCTGTTTCATTCGTAAATCACTACTAATTCGAGAGTACGTATAACAAAAGTTAAATACCAATGGATTTTTATTTAAAATGTATATTTTTTTATAGTTGTATTAATATAGTTAATTTATAGTTGTAATAATAAGAACCACATACTTTTTATTATCATCATTTCGAACAGATCTTGAATCCTCATTATTGTCATCTTCAAAATCACTACCCCTGGAAAAAAATACAAATATTTTAATAATTTATAAATCCAATAAAGAATCATGCCTAGAGACGACTACGTTAATAGACGGGTGTTCATCTCTATTCCCTAAAAAATATTCTGAATGTACTTTTTATAATTAAATAGTAATTAATATACTTAAAAACTACTAAACTTCTTAAAAGCAAATTGTATGAATATTTATAAAAGTCTTAGATTAAATCTAATTGATAAATGACAAATATTCTATCACGTAAATAAACTAATGAGTCATAAAAAATTACTCCTAATAATCAGAATCAACAAATATAAATACGGTAGAAAATTTAATAACAAAATACTATTTCTGGGGATATTGATTTCAATGAGTATATTATGAATATGAATGGTAAAGCGAAAATAGATGTCTTGATTTTGATTATAGAATCTCTAATGTATTTATCAATACAATTGTTAATTTTGTAATATTACAGATTAATAAATATTAATTTATTTTCTAAATCAGTGATTCTCAAACTGGGGTCCATGGCTATAATACTGGAAGTTCATGAAATATTTATTTAATTTCAAACTATTTATATTTATACAAGTTTAAAACTTAATACTATTATATTGTTCTTTCAAATTATTTTTAATAATTTATCATTGTGTAATAGTACATGTAATTTTAGCATTCATTTATTTATAATACGGGACTAGCCCAAATACAAAACCAATAAATCAGAAACAAAATTTCATGAACATTAAAAATATTTTAAAAATAACAATTATACAATAAATAAAGTAAATATAATTTAAATAAGAACAAATAAATAATAATATTAGTTGTAGGTAACTAAAGAGTATAATAAAATATAATAAGAATATATATAATTTATCTATAATTAAGAAATAATAATTAATGATTTTAATTGAGTTATCCTTGACAAAAAAGTTTGATGCACAATTTTTTAAATAATAAGAATTTTGAAAAGTACTTTATTTTAATTTTATATCAAATACATTTTGAGTTAATTGTTTTAACTATTTAAACAATTTTATTTGTCGAGTGTCATTTGTTAAATAAGTAAATTTAATTTTCTTTGTCGTCGCATTATCAAATTTCATAAACCATCCTAGATTATAATTTATTAAAAGTATTTCCCAATAACTAAAATGAAATTACATTGAATATTTAATATAATATACTGTTTTAACTTATAACCTTGTAACTACAGTAGCTTTCTATAATAAATTATTAATTCATAATCTATTACAACAAATTATTAATAACAAATTTATGAATTTAAAATATAATGTAAGATAAATATATCTATGATAATTTAATTGAATGTTTCAAAAATTAAATATTTTATTAAATTTTATTTTTACTTTACTTGATACAAACAATAATTATAAAATTGCTGATAGAAGTTTTTAATACTCATAACTTTTACCTATGTATATAACGAAAAATCAAGTATAAGTAAGTACCTAAATAGCTAAAAATGTAAATATTATTAAAAAACGAGGTCAACACATTATCTTCTTATTTAGAATTAAATTGTAATATATTAATTAGTATTTTTTTTAAATTCTACTCAAACTGGATAATTTGTTAGTTGTCTAAAATATTTTGACGATTGACTATAAGAATTACATAAAATCATTAGATTTAATATTTAATTCATAATTAAGTAAATAATAAACATAAGTTATTAATCACATTAAAAAAATTATTTATTCAAATCAATTCTAGCTAATCGATCATTTCTTTATCGTTAAACCAATAGTTATTAACATATTATTATATATTACCAACTAAATTCGTTGCTCATCAAATTTTGATTAACATATTTTATTAATTTATTATTCGTAAAATTAATTATTTGATAATACATTTATAAAATAAGATGTCGTATGTGACTTACTAAGATGATATTAAACAGTTATACTTATAGTTATTAATTTCTTTATACTTAAAATTCATCTATATATATTTAATAAAATAAAAAATATTTTCAAAAACAATAATTTTACTATGATGACCTACTAATATATTTAAGTAAAAGTTGTAGTTTGTTGATTTATGTTGGCTATAAGTTATATATCTCAAGTTATACACAGTGAAATAGAAATAATATTGATCAATTAATAATGTTTATTAAACAGTTATTTTTCATTTATATTTAATTACATTTTATTTTATTTTTTATTTAATTATAATAATAAATTAATTAATAAACCTATTATAAAAAAAATTATAAGTTGAAAGATAATATAAAAATATGTTTATTTATTATTATTTAAAAAAATATAAAATGTGTTACTCTTAAAATATTCCTATTTTACGCCATGCTGTTCAGTAGTTTATTTCATAACTTATTTATAGTTCAAGTTTTAAGCAGGTAAATAATTAATATATAATATGTATTAATTATTTACTTTATTTATTATTATTATTTATTTAGCAGTATGTGTAATGTATATTATATATTACACATACTAAACAAATATATATATATATTATAATAATTATTAGTAAGTACTTACTGAGTAGATACTTTTCGTTTGTTTTTTACATTTTCAATGCCACTCGTATCCATATTTGCATCTGCTGAAGAGGTGGGTAGTCGAGTATTGCTTTCCATGCTGCAAATCGATTTTGAATTTCTAAAAATGTTTATCTCACGTTTTTATTTTTGTTTTTTCAAATGATGAATTTCTTGGTATATTCAAGAGAAATACTCACTCCTTCGTGGGTTCGGATACAGGTTGTAAATCATAATAAACAAGTGGTTCCATGGGACTATCATGGCTTAAATTATCGAAGTTCATTAAATCACTTGGGGCGTGTAATAAATTATTGCAGTAAGAATTAAAATCTGAATCTCTAGCCATTTTATAAACTACTAACTACTTAAACTTTACAGGGAGCTGTAGTTTTAAAAAACTGCAATGTACAACCGACACTTGTCAATATCAGATCCAATAGGCAAAAAGAATCTCTTCGGTGAGGTATTCTAGGGGGTGGTTTTGAGCGACGTGATCGAGCCTTGCCATTGGTTGAGGACAAGTGTTTACGTCACTTGTTTGTACGATTTCGATTGTATATATGTATCCGAAACCAATAAAGGAGAGAAAAAATATGAGGAACAATTTGAATAACATTGTAGATCATAATCGAAAACATTCTAGTGAGGTCCAAGACATATGATAATTATGGTAAAACGTTTTATGAATAATTATCCTTGTTTGTTTAACAATTCACATAATTCAAATTTTAAATAACTTTTCAGTGAAATTTTTAAAATTGAATTTACTGTTTGGTAGTGTCATATACGGTTATTTTTTTAAAAAAAAAATTCTTAAAATAATGTCTTAATTGTTTAACAAAATGTTAATCAAAATTCATAAAACCATATTTGTAAATAATATTTTAGTAAATTTAATAAATAATTAAAGATAATATTATTAAGCGATATTTTTATATTTGTAAATAAAAAATGATATTATTACTGTGGTAGAAGAAATTATTTATGTCTTAGTGCATTGTAAGAAAATTTTCCATCAATTGTTATTAAATTGAAATAAATAAATGGATACGAAATATTGTAAACTTCTAAATGGTACTTATTAAAAGTAAAGTACTCGAACAAAACTATTTTATATACAAATCAACTATACTCGTAAAGATATAATATTACATAACTTTATACCGTATTTTTATCAAACAATTGATCATACCGAGAACAGTGTCTTTTTCTTGGCTTCATTTTAGATCGTTTTCTGAAATATTATACAAAATTAATAATATTAATTTATTATAGTTTTTTGTAAATAATATCTGAAATCGAGCCAACACATTTTTAAAGATTTTGTGAATTTCAAATATAAAATCGAGCTCAACTTGCCCTAGAGGAAATTAATATCTCCACCCTTTTTGTCTGAAACAGAGATTGCTACCCTTCTATTGTTATACATATGGATGAAAAATATAAAACCCTCAACGGTATACCGACGTCATGTTTGTTTTTAGATATTCGGACGTAACAGATATCTACTTAAGCAAATAATTAGACTGTACAGCGGGAGGTATACCTGTCAAATCCATTCAAACAATATTTTGCTACCTACATAAAATTATCTAAAACTTATTTTTATTTCATAAGCTACAACCACTACCTTAGTTCAACTTAAACAAATTATTATTTTTCAATAAGGGAACTCAAGGAACTCAAACTATTCGAATGCAATTTTTTATAACTCTTACATACATTTAATGTTTATTTATCAATATTATACATGAAAAAATTAATTTATCATATTATATATACTAAACCGTTTAAAAATAATTGTTACAGTATATGAGAACCATATTATAAAAAAACTGGTTTAGCACCTTAGATCTTAAGTAGCTAAATTTCGATAAAAAATTTGAATACAATATATATTCAAGGTTTAAATTTAATGTATAGTAAAAGTGAGGACTAATTTTTTCATAATCATAAGTACGTAAAGTAATTGAATATGAAAATTAGAAATATTAACAATTATAAAAAAACTGTGAATCAAAATGTTTCAACCCGTATTTATATTAAAAACAAATCATTTGATCACTATAAATTATATTCAAAAGACAATAAATAAATAGTATTATTAAGTATTACCTTAATACTTCAATAATATTCAACATTAAAATTTTTTGTTTACTTTATTCAAACACCGATGGCAAGTGATGTATATTTTATTTCATGAAATTATTTCATGTATTTCTTTAATAGGAAGTATAATCATAGTATGTTATAACAATATACATACAAATCTTGGTAAAACTTCAGTTAAAAACAATTAAAAAATAAATTGCTGAAATGTGATTGACTTACATGAAATAAGTTATATACTTATTGGATGATAATGATTTCATCAACAATCAACCATCGTAAATATTGGCTTCATATTTACGGAATTGTATCGTGAAGATAATAAAACATGTGCAGGCAAGTCATTTTTACTAGAATCCGAAGTATTAAAATAATAAATAAACGAGTTTCATAGAAAAAAATTACTTTTGTTATGAGACAACTGCAATTCCAGTCAAATAAAATCAAATAGTAATGCTAAATTATATGAAATATTCCATTTTTTTATTAATCATTATGAACATTATTTAAAAATTAAAAATGCAATTAATACATTTAAATAAGACATAATAACGGTTCAGTTATCTGCTTTCCGCGATCCGGATAGAACCGCAGTTCGCCTGGTTGCTGTAATAGAATATAAAATGTCAAAAAAATCCATTTCTTACTTCATTATATTATCTATATTGTTAATGTAATTTAAATTTATATATTTGTTTAATGTTATTTGTATGACTAGTGATTACTTTCTCGAAAAGTAAGAAAATTTAAAAGATCTATTTTTTCTTAGTTTAGTAGAAATATTATGAACTAAGAATTTATGAATTTGATTACACTTCAATAGTTAGAGTAAATTTAATAGATTACACCAAACGTATATTATATAAATACCTACTATGATACTAGTAAATGTAGATGTATAACATATAATAATACGATTTATAAAATACATATAGGCATATTCAGGGGCGGATCCAGAGTCGTGGAACTGTGGGCCAAGCCATTTCAAGAGACCATTTATTAGGGATGAAACTGAATTAGAAATGAATACCTTGTAAAAAAAAAAAAAAAACATAAAAGTGTATAAGTATATTTATATTACATTTTAAAATTAGTAATACCACCGATAATGACTTATTTACGATTAATAAATATAATCTAATTTTATTAGCGCAACAAACGTACGGAATAAAATGTGATTTACTTAACTTTTTACTAAAACGATATAATTTAAAATATAAATTACTAATTGAAATTTTCAAGTAACTCCGATGGGCCAACTGTCCAAGAGAATCAAGGTCTAAAAAGAGAAAAAAAATTCCAAGAGGCCAATTTTATCAACAAATATTAACTGTGGGTCAGCTGACCCCTGAACCCCCCCCCCCCAAGACCCACCCCTAGGCATATTAAACATGAGAAAATTTATATACGATGTAGCTATTAATTGACTGACAACAAAAATCTAAATTCCGTCAATTCGCTTAATATTGCAATTTTCTACATCTTTAGAGTAGTCGTAGTATTGATATTCTAATTTACGCCTACTATAGTTAGAGATAATATAGTAAATATTATAATCATTGTTCTAGAAAATTCTTGAAATATAATATTAATTAATGAGCATGGTCGATTGGAAATCGTAATTACATCATATCTTAATTGATAATAATACTTCGACTAAATACTCGGGCGAACCGGACGTACAAAATACAATATTATTCGCCTGGTACCGTCGTCGATATTCACTTATACCGTAAACATTTACACAAACATTTTATATTAGATAGCTAATTTTAATCATTATTATTCAGATCAATTTAAAATTTACTTATTATTAAAAAAGGCAGTCAATAAGTTATCGGGGAAAGTATTAATTTGCCGACTCAACATCTATTTTTACTTCGATTAATAAACTTAATAAATAATCATAATCATTAACCATAACAAAATGATTCATATATAGTAAATAATATACATGTATGAACCATAAAATGTAAATAGCTAATGGCTTATTAGTATACAGTTAAGGTTCAACTGTTAAATCATACCTTATTAATTTAGTTGCTTTTCCAAAAATATTTAATATGAATATAGTAACTAACTAAAAAAATTAATTTGCTGTCGATAAAAGGATTTTAGGCCCATCATAATATTTAGAAACAAATTTACCCGTTTTTATAATTTATTCACGTTTCATTTTATTTTGGTTATTAAACGTCTTTTCGCTATACTGTGTTTTCAATTTTATGCATTTTCTCAATTTATTTTTACCGTCAAAATCATCATCATATTTGTCAATAATCATTAAATTAAAAATTGAACACAAAATCTAGGAATAGAAGAAAAAAAATCATGGTTAATGAAAATAATGGTAATAAAATGCACTATTTGCGCAATAACAGAGATGATATTATAATATATATATGAGATATATATGCACATATATATCGAATATGCACAGTGTACAATGTTGTAGCTATTTAACTATTCAATATCGGGATGGACGCGTTTGTGTGCACTTAACTATTGGACTTTGAAAGGGCTCGAAACTCGACGATGATTTTGTTCAAACATCTCTTCTACTTTCCATTTTTTCGGCCGATAAATTAAAAGATAAAAAACGTTCGTCCTGCAGATGAAAGATTTTGAACTACAGGTAATTCGCTTGGTTCGGGGTATTTTAACAACAACACAGATTTCAATGGAAATTAACATTACTATGTACCTATTATGTATGTTATTCAGTGGCATCCAACCCTATTACTCGATGTAGCAGCTGCTACATCTAGAAAATAAGTGGTGGTTGCGTATTGCAACATGTAAGTTAAAATAGTAAACTTGAAACTTATTAACTATTATTAACTGTCAATATTAATAATGATAATTTTGTATTATTCATGATTCATATTATTTCTATGCAGCTATCCATATAACACCTAAAATATTAACATATCAAAAAAACAAACGAAAAACTCGTTAAAATTTGAATTTTCCGGCGGTAGATGGGTATTATAAAATCTTGCTACGCCCGAAAAAAAAGTCGGGGCGCCAACCTGATGTTATCGCCTCGGCCTCGGACATGCGTTAAAATACTATTACCGAGAGCATATGGTTCGCGATTGACATAATTTAATTTAGTAGCGAACCACCCCACCAACATACCGGATACTCTGCAGCCTACCATTGCACAACGGTGAAGATCGGAGAACACAATATTACATATTATGCGTATTTTACGAGATACGTATGCGAACGTGCGTTACTCACCGATGTTAATTTAATTTGTTTATTAATTTATTTATTATTTATTTTATCACGATAAATCATGTACAATAATCAGCTGGCGGTGGTAGCGGCAGTCAACGGCGACGACGTGTCAAGCAACGTGATAGCATCGGCGGCGGCGTTTGAACGTTCTTTTTTTCTGACGAAAACAACAAAACAACATCGTACGCGAGAGCTCAGTCCGATCACGTTTCAGCCGGCGCGTGGCCCTGTGGAGTACGGGACGACTGATGCGCGTGTGTTTTTCGTACGCGATTTATAATAACTTTGGTGGCTCAAGACAGAGTGAGACGCACAGCGA